TGCAATCGCTAGTATTGGCGGTTGGACAGATTTTTCAATCAAAGATATTGCTCTTGTAATACCTTTAAGAAAAAGATTGATTCCTATTCCATTGTGCTCCTCTGGTATAAATAAAGAGTCTCGACCCTAGCCAAGGAGAGTTGAGAGCTGTTTCTCTCACTAGAAAACATCTAGTTTCTCTCCTACCCGCCAGCGCCGCCACTCGCGGTGGTCGCCGCCGCCGGAGCCCTCACGGCTCCGGTGGGGTTCAAGGTTGTCTGGTCTATGAGTTTTTGGAAAATAAGTTGTGGATGTTTTGTGGATGCCTGGGTCTATTAAACGATGAAGAGGTTGAAACAGTGAAGTTCTGGAATTGTTCTTCTTCTTCGTCGATGACCCTTCTGGTTTGGAACTGGAAAGGAAGCCTGGTCTTGCTGGATAAATTGCCAATGCTGAGTGACGGCCGTGGGGAGCTGATTTGGTGACGGAAAGGTGAGGGCGAATGGTCTAGTGTGCAACGGTTTCTTGGAAGGGTCTGGACTGGGTCGGGGTGGTTGGCCGGAGGAGTTTAACTTCCGTTTCAGGGTGCTCACTGATGAGGTTGTATGGATTGAACTATGGCGGAGGATACTGCTGGAATTCGCCGGTGACTGTGTACGAGGGCATCTTTACCGTTTTGAATCGAAGGGTTAAGCTCTTGGAAGCGCCGGAGCTCACTGATAAACCGGCCGGCCGGGGTCACTGCGTGCTAAGGGGAGGTACGTACAATGACGAGGACTGGGGAAGGTGACATTCTGGTGATTTAAAGGGAGTCTCTACCCGGAGGTGAGAGATGGATGTGGTGCTTGAGGAGACTTCGCCGGAGAGGATGACTGGCGACTTTTATGCCGGTGAGGACAACTGGGGGGTGATGCGCGGATTCAAAGTCCCCTAGTCATTTGGGTTCTACTGGTTTGGTATTGTGGTGTTTTATTCGAAATCATTATTGAAGGCGGCCAGGATTCGCCGGAGAAGACAACCGGCGTGCCGGGAATCAACTTCGCCTGTCGCTACGTTATTTCCGGCTACTGTTGATACGCCACTACTTTGTCATCTCACCTACGCCGCCGGGGGTCGCCGGGGCTCGACGGGGGTGGGTGGTTGAGGGTGGAATTTCGGATCAGCAGAGGGTGCTCTCCGGTGTGGGTTACGGCCCCGTTTTTCTCTGGTCGCCGGACTGCCCGGTGGAACCGGCGCTGGGTGGGGAGGCTGGGGGAGGGGGTGGGGTGGGTTGGACTGTCAGCTGACCGATGTGGGCCAGCCTGTCGTTTGACCAGATGTTTTGAATTTGAATGTTTTGCTGAGGCGGCGCTGAAGTGTAGCGAAGGAGGGTTGGAGTATGGGCCGTTGCCCTAATCTTCGGCCTGCTTGCTGCGCGGATGGAGCTTCTGTTTGGTGGGCTCTGCTTCAGGCCCAGAGGCGAACCCAGGCCGGCTTAACTGATGGAAATGCAGGTAATCTGGACTGGTGGGCTGCCTATTGGACTGGAGTGCTGGGTGGATCTCAATTTCGGATTTGCTGCTGTTTTTTTGCTGGAGTAATGGAGTGAGGGCTTCTAGAAGCTTGGCTTTGGGGAAGGATACTCTTTGGTGACTTTGCTGGCCCATGAGCCTTTCCATGAATTATTGGTTCGGCGGCCAGTGCCTTACGAGAGGCTTTTGACTCGTTAATGGGCTCACCCTTCATGGGCTAGTCCATCTTAGTTACTTGACTTTTTGTGATATGAGTCAGGGCTTGTCCCGTACCTTTTTTACTTTAAAAAATTCTATCTCTCCTTCCCCCTACCGTGAGGTAGGGGGGCGGGGCGCGGGGCGCGGATACGACAATTACTATTTTAGGTTAGCATGCTAGCTTAGATAGTTATTTTGATTGTTTTGATGCATTGTATATGCTATTTTCTTGATATATATATATTTACATTTTATCCAAAAAAAGAGTCTCGACCCTTATCAATGATTCGGATAAAACCTCCGTAGAAATTCATATCATAAAGAATAAGAAATGCATTATCCATCTTTAATCTATTGCAAGAGTTTCACTCCAAAGACCTTAGGAATGGATTCCTTCAACCACGATACCCTAACAATGTCTAATTTCAGAGAAGATGAAATTCCTAACTTTGTTTCAGAGATACGGATAGTAGAGTCATCAACAATTTCAAAACTAAAACTTTTGCTTTCAATCAAAACATCAAACCTGGAGGAAGATTCGCTCCAGGCTACATTTTTCTTGGCGAAATTGCTCCGCTGCCCCAAATTAGTTTGATCAGCTTGATTATTCTGCAAAACCTTTTTCCTTGTATCCGGGAAATCCCATTTACGCCTAAACTGTCTGGAATCTCTTCTGAGAATAGGCCGCTGGTATGCTGAGTCGTCCCCAAAAAATCTGGCTCACTATCTCAAAGGGAATCGCCATGCCTAGGTGCCAGAGAAATAATTCCCGTTCCTGTAGCTCCTGGAGACCATGCCTCTCTGATCCCTTCTGGTGACCGATGGACGACGTAGATGCGGTCGCCACTCTATTGTCTCCCTTTCGTAGCTTCTTCCCCGGGGTAGATAGTCTCGCCTACTCCGACATCGATTCGTCCAGTTGAGGTCACCGATCTAGCGATGCTCTCAAATCGGATAAAACCCCCGCGCCGCCCAAGCTCCCGACCCTGTCATCCCTCAGAAGGGGGAAAAGTTATTAAAGTTGAAAAAGCTTATATATATATATATAATTCGAATATTATTCGAATAGAATATCATAATATTTGTATTCGTATTCATAAAGTATTCGAATCAAAAAATAGATTTGTATTCGTATTCGTATTCTACTTACTCTAATTCGAATAGCATTTTCTAATTCGAATAATTCGAAAAAATCAAAATTATTCGCATTCCTTTACAACCCTATGCCATCTACGACAGAGGCGGATGTATGTTTGGTCAGGGGTGGGCTTCAGCCCAGCCTAACTTTTTTTTAATAGTATTGGTACATTTTCAATTCTCAGCCCAACCTAAATTTAATTGTCAGCCCACCCCACAAATAATTCCCATCCCAGTCCACAAAAACAAACAACCCACAGTCTCCCTTACGCTTACCACTTACCTTACTTACGCGAAGGGAGACGGAACTCACGGAAGTCACAGAACCGCGAAGTCGCGAACGGCCAAGCGGGCGAGTGAGGCGACAACACGACACCCGAGCCCCCGACGGAAGTGCTCCGCACAGCCGCACCGAAGCAGCGAACGCCGAAGTACCGAATGGAACGCCTCTGCGGCTCTGCGGGCTGCGGGCCTGCGGCTCTGCCCGACTGCCTCGGTGCCTCCAACTCCCTCTTTGGGCCTTTGGCTCTCTCGTCTGTCGTCTCTCGACCAGTTCTCCAGCCGTCCAGCGTCCAGCGACCAGGTAAATAGTTTTGCCTTTTAGTCTTTTACCTAGTTGCCTGGTTTGTGTTGTCGTGTTAAATTTTAATTTGTGAATCAGTGAAGTTATGCACTTCTGCCGTGAATATGTGAACCGTGAGTCTGTGAATCTGTGATTGACAGATTGTGTATTAAACTATTAATGTATTAATTATTATTATTTTTAGCATTTGTGAGCTGTAAATAGTTTATACTTTATACTTCATTATAAATTTGTAATGATTAAATATTGAATTAAAGAGTAGAAAATGATTTAGTTAAATAGTTCTTTATTAGTTATATTTTTTATATAAGTATTTTAATATATACCAATATTGAAAATGTTTTTTAGAATGGATAATGAACATGTTGCCAAGAAGGGAAAGAAGTTGATTTCATCATTCTTTCCGAAAGTGAATCGTCAAACCGGTGAAGGTAGTTCTGAACCTATACCTACGATAGTGAAAGATTTAGTCAATGAGGTTCCTCCACATGCTCTAGTCCCTGAAATCCAAACTATCTCAAATTTGGAGTTGCCTCCATCTTTTTGCATTGAGAGAGATCCGGGAAAAAGAAAGCAAATTCATGAATATCATGTCAATGTGCGAGATGAAGTGAGACGTGCATATCTAAATGTTGGGCCTTATCAACCAAGAATGGAAGTTTATCCAGTTAAAAAGTTTGGAGCTCAAAATCGAAGTTTTCAGAAACACTGGTTTGACAAGTTTAATTGGTTAGAGTACTCACTTGTGACTGAAAAAGCTTACTGTTTTTTCTGCTTCCTTTTCTTGAGTGACATTCATATGCATATTACTTCTGCATTAGTTAATGAAGGATTTCAAAGTTGGAAAAGGGTTAATCAAGGAAGTCAATGTGCATTTCTTCAACACATTGGTATTTTAGAAAAATCACCTCATATGATGATGTGTGTTCAAAGAGATGAAAATTTGAGGCAACCATCTGGCCATATTAAGAATGTTTTTCACGCCCAATCGCAACAAGAAAAGGAGAAAAAACGTCTGCGATTGAGAACTTCTATTATAACTGTTCGATGGTTAGCGCTTTAATGATACATCCATGGAACTTCTTCAACTTAGTCTTGCTTTGGATCCCAAGAACTTCTTCAGCTCATTTAACAATGAGAATATCTGTAAACTTGCAAAAAAGTTTTATCCTGCAGATTTTACTGATCAAGACATTGTCTCACTTGAGTATGAGTTGATTCACTACAAGCATGATATTGTTTCTACATATCAAGCGTTGACACTTGTTTAGTTATGTCAACATTTGACGGAGAGTGGGAAATCAGAAATCTATTTTATGTTGATGAGACTGATTCGTCTGGTTTTGACCCTGCCTGTTTCTACTACTACTACGGAAAGAACATTTTCAGCAATGAAGCATGTGAAGACGGCACTTCATAACAAAATGGGAGATAGTTTCTTAAAGATTCATTGATGATCTATATTGAATGAGACTTTATCAATAATATAGATGTAGATTCTATTATTGATGAATTTTATACTTTGAAATCACGTAGGGCACAGCTAAAATTATGTTTTAATGAATTTTAAGTGTCGACAACTTTACATTTCTGGATCCGCCCTGATCACTATCCACCCACCTCTCCGTTCATGCATTTTTGACTTTAGCATTGGCTTGCTGCTAACATCACCGTTCCACTTTCGTGAACTAAGCCAATCAGAGCTGAGGGTGCACCGGAGTATAATCGACGATGAGCGCTGACACGCGCCCTTATTCTACTTCTTCCTCGTCCAGCCAATGGTTCGATCACTTTTTTTCATCCGCTAGGCGGTCCAAACCTCTAGCTACGCCGTCTCAAGCCGTCGCACGGGAAATATCCGGCGAGGGTCTCGTCCGCCGCCTTTCCCTTTTTGATCTCATTCTCATCGGTATTGGAGCCTCAATTGGAGCTGGAATCTTTGTCGTTACCGGAACCGTTGCCCATGATGCTGGACCAGGTGAGTTCCCATCTCTGTCTGCGTTTCTCTTACATTTGCTGGCATATAATAACTCTTCATTTGCTCATAGTTGTGATTTTATGTACTCCCAGTAGTTCCGGTCTAACCTTTTCACTTGGCCTTTTGAGCTTCTAACTGCCTTTTTTGGACGTTCCAGCAAAATCTTCCATTTCTAATTTAGGGAAAAATAATTAGCACAATTAAATTACAACTTAATCGTGCAACCTCAACATGTTATATATCCATCATCATTCCTATTTATTTATTTATTTACTTATTTACTTATTTACTTATTTATTTATTTATTTAATTAATTATTTAATCATTCATTCATTCATTTATTTAATTTATTATTTATTTATTTATTTATTTATTTATTTATTTATTTATTTAATCAGTATTTATTTATTTATTTATTTATTTATTTATTTATTTATTTATTTATTTATTTATTTATTTATTTATAGGATGTCATCAGGGGCGGATCTACCTTAGGGCTTGGGGGTGCTTGTGCCCCGCGGCTCTGCAGATTTCTTTTTATTATATATAGAGAGAAATTTTCAGGTCCAGCACGTTTCTGTCCGAACGCCGTCCAAACACCGCTGTTTGGGGCGGTTCCCGGTGGAATTTTTTGATGAAATTTTTTGAGCATGTTCCTCATCAAGTCTGGTTTATCCATACTAAATTTCAGCTTAAAATTCGATCGGGAAGGCAGTAAAATAATTTTTTGAAATTAACTGCGTTTTTCTATGTATAATTTGGCGCAGTTAACTTCAACAAATTGTTTGACTGCCTTCGCGATCGAATTTTAAGCTGACATTTGGTATGGATAAACTAGATTTGATGAGGAACATGTTCAAAATATTTCATGAAAAAATTCCACCTGGAACCTCCCCAAAAAGCGGTGTTCGGACAACGTTCGGACCGGGGACTGCTGGACAGGAGAATGACTCTACATATATATTATACAGGGTGGTCGACAATCAACTTTTGAATGTAAAAATAATTTAGAACCACAATCAAATTTGATATTGATCAATGTTAATGAGGCAGGCTGAAAAGAAAATGTAAGAAAATCTTAACAAAATAAAGGGAGTAATATATTTATGAGCTCGACTACTAACGTTGAAGCTTGGAGGGTTGATTACATTGAGAGGGTTTCTTTGGAATTCGCCGGAATTAGGCCGGAATAAGTGAATAACGCTGACGACCACTAGGTCTAGCGACTGATCGAGAGCATGGGCGGAGCTAGGGGTGGGCCCACCTCAAATTTTAAAAATGGCTTAATTTTTAAGGTAAAAAATTTTGTGTAATTTTTTTTCTAAAAATATTCTTTATACCGGACCAACCCGGCCTAGTGCTCTGCCTCAGCCCCTGATCGAGAGCATTATTGTTTTGAGGTGACCGGCGTAGCGGCTTTGCTATTGTGTATTTTGGGCTATAGCCATGTACTGAGCTTGTTATTTTTTGTGGTTGTGGATAGTCAGGCTCAAGTTTGACAAAGAATTCATATGAATCGATTTTGTACATAGATTTCTAAAGGTAATGTGCCCCTCCAAGATCACGAAGCTGGTTCCGCCACTGGATGTCATAGATTGATTTATCTTTTGGGAATAAGGTTTGGATGTTGTTGTTGTATTTATAGGATGTCATTTATTCTATTCAAACATAATTCCATGTTAAGAAATTTGTTGGTGCCATTATTTTCTCTTCACCATTGAAAATAGCTCTTACCTCATACTCTCTCATTTGCAATGTGTTTTGCATACCTGCACTTTACTCTTAACTTGATGGGTAGTTCGGAATGCTATTCATGATGTAGTTTCACGTTTTCAATGCAGGGGTTACTATCAGCTTCATTATTGCAGGAGCCTCTTGTGCTCTAAACGCACTCTGCTATGCCGAGCTTGCGTCTAGCTTTCCTGCAGTTGTTGGGGGAGCTTACTTATACACCTATACAGCTTTTAATGAGCTCACTGCTTTTCTTGTTTTCACCCAGTTGATGCTCGACTATCATATTGGTGCTGCTACCATAGCACGCAGTTTAGCTAGCTATGTAATTAATGCAGTAGAGCTCATCCCCTTCCTTAAGGAGACCATTCCCAACTGGATTGGGCATGGCAGCAAACAATACCTGGGAGCATTTTCTTTTAACATACTAGCTCCCCTTCTCCTCATTGCTCTGACAATAGTTCTATGTTGGGGTGTCGGAGAGTCCTCTATGTTGAACTCAGTTATGACATTGACGAAGGTGATCTCTTTTTCCTGCTTACTATCCTCTCTACAATTGCTCTTAAAATTATGTGCATTTCATACAGAAGAGTATTCAACATTGTGTTCTTCATATCTCCTGCAGCCTTGCTAGGAATTATGAAAAGGCACGTGTTCTTTTAAAGTTGACTTAACTACATAATAAGATTTTCTTCAGGTAGTCATTGTTATCATTGTCATCATTTTTGGTACTTTTGAGGTTGATGTTTCTAATTGGACCCCCTATGCTCCAAATGGATTCAAATCCATATTAACGGGAGCAACTGTGGTATTCTTTGCATATGTTGGCTTTGATGCTGTTGCTAATTCTGCTGAAGAATCTAAGAGGCCACAGGTAAACTATTTCTGTATAAGTTTCAGTTGGTTAAATACTCTTATATTCACTAGAATAGTTGCAACCTTGATATGTTTTTTAAAAGAAATTAGTCATAATCGTAATAATAATAAATCAACAACAGCAACAACAACTAACCCTTGTAATACTTTTTGAACTTGATAATGCTCAGAGAGACTTGCCTTTAAGCATAGTTGGGAGCCTCCTTGTATGCATACTACTTTATATTGCAGTCTGTTTAGTGATTACTGGGATGGTTCCTTACAAGTTCCTGGGTGGTGATGCTCCTTTGGTTGAAGCTTTCAATGAGAGAGGACTGAAGTATGTATCAGTGCTTATCAGCATTGGTGCTATTGCAGGGCTCACAACAACTCTTATGGTAGGCCTTTATGTTCAGGTAAATGCCCCTTTTCCCTGGGTTATCTGGTTCATTTAAACCACTTTCAAGGTGCAAATGCAATGCCATTTAAAAAAATGTTTCTCTTGTGTAGTCACGACTATATCTTGGGCTTGGAAGGGATGGTTTATTGCCTTCAGTATTTGCAAAAGTACATCCAACAAGGCATACTCCTGTTCATTCGCAAATTTGGGTTGGAATTGTTGCCATCATCCTGGCTGGTCTATTTAATGTGGAACAACTTTCTCACATTCTTTCAGTGGGCACTTTGGTATACTTTTCTCCGTAAATAGTTTATGTATAGTAAAACAAGGCTGTCGAAAACCAATCATATTACTTGTTTAACTTACTTTTTTTGAAAGGATTGTTTAACATACTTTTGAAAACCCGTACTTGAACTATCTAATTTCAAGTTATAAAAAATTTAAAAATCAATAACCACTATATAATCCCAAATCTAATTCAAAAATTAAATGTTATTTAAACAATTTACTATTATAGACATAGAGCCTGTTTGGTGACTCTATTGCTCTACATTCATAGATATGGAGCCTGTTTGGTGACTATGTTTTTCGGTTTATCAGGTTTATCAACCAACTTTTAACCAAACACGTAATTTTTGATTTCGTGCACTGAATTGTGTAATAATAAGAAAAAGTAAGGTTGTAGTTACTTTTCTGGCTGTATTGGTTGAAGTTGTTGTAGATGACTATTTTAGCTATTTATTCATATAATTTTTTCTTTACTTTATTAAGAAAATATATTTTAAATATTTTTTTTCACAAATCAGCAGAATCAGCCAATACAGCCCCTTCAGCCAGAACTTCATTAATTTCAGCAAAATCAGCCGATTCAGCCGATTTAAGTGTTGCCAAACGAGCTCATAGTAATAAACATAGTAATACTAGTAATAAGAATCATAAGATATATATTTTTTAATTCATATACCTTGTTTTATATATGGATGGTCTCCCTATGGATGTATAGTCAATACTTACGCCCAAATTGTATTATAATAAGTAAAATAGCAATAGGATAAATTCTAATAGAGATATTTTTGCGTAACTATTTAGATACGATCATTCGAATATGTTAAAATGAAAGCTACTTCATTTAAATTTAAATAGTCATATTCATCTTCTCATTTTTGGTGAATCAATAATTACTCTCTCCGTTCTCAAACAATGTGCCTACTTCTCTTTCTCACTTCACCCAAAATAGTTTTCTTTCCTTTATTTTGGGAAAAGTAAGTTATCCACTTACTTTACAACCCTCATTTAATATCTTACACGCCAGATTATTACTAACAATCACTATCGAATATGCAAGGGAAAACTGTCAAATAGACTCTTTTACTATCACCCAATTATCAATTAGACTCTTGTGCTTAAGAATCACCGTGTCCGAACTTCGTAAAAATACTTGATTAGCATTTTTGCAAATTACCTAACAGGCTAACAGGCTGAAGCCCAGGGTAATTTATTTCCCCCCCGATGTTTTAGTGCAATTTTTTTCATTTTCATTTTTCATTTTTAGCCCACCCCGCTAATATTTAAACCTAATATACTTAGTTTTCAGTTCAATCCAATTCCAGATTCCTGGATCCGCCCCTGTACCAGATATTTTTCCACCTCATTCCTGTCTCACTGCTAGATCCCCTCCAACTCATCGCCACATCAATGACGTCATCACTATTATGTCACCTAACTATTTCTAGTTTTATTTCTTATATACATTGTTTTTTCCTATTTCACCCACCCCACCCACCACTGGCCATATTGTTTTCATTTGAAAAATAACTAGAAAAAATGGCTGAATCCAATATTTTTTTAATTCTAGGAAAAATAGCTGCAACTACTGGCCACTATTGGTGGTAGTGCCGTTGTAAAACATGTCACTGTGGCTACCAAAGAATTTTTCCGACAAATTTTAAAAGAAATAATTACATAGTTATGACTAAAATCAGTGTTGTCCATCCTGGATAGCGGAGCGTAGCGGGCAGCCCCAAAAACGCTACAGCGGTATAGCGGATAGCGGGATGACCGCTGTTTAGAGTACTTTCAAATATAATAGATAAGTAACTACTGGAAGCATATGTAATACATACATATGAAAAAAAATACTCTTTGCCTTACTGGAAGCATATGTTTTAACTACTGTAAGGTACATCTATTACCTTTAAGGTACATCTAAGGTCTGCAAAGAGACTACTGAAACTAGATGGTTCACCCACCTAAATTACTTAGAAATACTCTTTAGTTTCATGAGCAAAATACAAGGTTCTAGTGTAAGAGTTTAAGCCTTTACAAATTAACAGTCAAAAAACTTAGATATGACTGAGTAGCAGAAATAGATGATTGTCGTTCTTGGAGAAGAAGTTATCGCAGAGGTTCAACTGAGTATTTTCAAAAGCTGGCTTCGTTTTGAGCTTTTAGTAGCCTTTGACGTACGTGTAAGGTTTTAAGTAGGTTAATATATTGTTTTAAAAGTCTAATTTACCCCTTCTATGTCTGAGCTAATAAATTAAACGCTAAAATCCCTTCCAGAATGCGCAGTAACCTCTTTACCATAAAACGCGCCGCGTTAGCGGCCCGCCATAACCTTCTCCGCACCACTGCGATAGCGGGCGCTATAGCCGCTACACCCAAACGCCACGCTAGAGCCCTCCACGTAGCGCCTTCCATGTCTGCCACACCGCTATAGCGCGCTATAGCGCCGCTATTAACATCACTGACTAAAATAAAGGTTATTTACAAAAATGTGACCTCTTGAGTGTAGTGACTATAGTAGTAACTATAGTCATAGTAACTTATTTTTAAGTTTTACACATAAGTGACCATGACACTATATTACGCGGAGTAGTAACTATTAATCATATTTTTGTAAATAAGTTTTATTTCAACAATTTTTTAAAAAAACCTCATTGAAGAAAGCACTTTAAAATGTTCATTGAACTTTTTCCGGTGACTTCTGCAGTGATCGCCGGGGACAGTGGTTGCTGGAATGCCGGGGGCAGCAGTGGGTAAGGGGATGGGGTGGGACTATGGGAGTGGCAGTTGGGTAGGGATTAGAAGGAAAAGAAATTTAAATTAATTGAACAAAGATTAGTCATATTTTTCGAAAGGACTGCATTTCCACCAAAAATAGTTGGCGGTAGCGGTTGGCCGGTTGCAGGTTTTATTCCTAAAATTTCAAATAAGAATTTGGTTGAATCAGTTCTGGATATGTTTCCTAGAATTAAAAAAAGTTACTGGTGGTAGCAGTTTCGGTTAATTTTTCTAAAAGATCAGCAAGCAGCGGTTGCGGATATTTTCCTAAAAAAGTTCAAAAAAGTGGCCCCAACAGTTGTGGACAGTTTTTCTAATATTTTCTCAAAAGTAAAATAATTTGGCCAGTGGCAGTGGTTGCACATATTTTTCCTAGAATTTACCAAATAAAATTTCACCAATTTTGTGCTTTTTTTTCTAGACAATCTTCAAATTAAAATTAGCCGGTTGCCAGCAGTGATGGAGATGGTGGGTGAGGTCAGCTGAAATAGGAAAAAACTAATGCATAAAAGAAATAAAATAGGAATAGCTAGATAACGTGGCAATGAAATTGTGATGATGTGGCAATGAGTAGGAGATGGCAGAATGAGAATGAAGTGGGCTAGGAACCGGGCAACCTGCAAAAAATGCTAATTAGGGATTATTAACAATTTTGTATGTTTTATTGGGTGTTCCTTAAGTACGAGGGCTTGATTGAGAATTTGGTGATAATATAAGGCCCTACTTGACAGTTTTCTCAATATCAAATTGCCCAATTTTTTTTAATAAAAGCCATGCTAAGTCAAAGCATGAAAGGTAAGACACATGGAGTGTGTTTTTAGGCATGTCTCACATTATAAAATTGTCAATAGAATTATTACAAACTTTTACAGAGGACTACGCTGTGTTACTACTTACTAGACTTGTGGGTCGACCCAGAAGTACTAATTACTAAACTTTTATAATGTCTCACATTATAAAATTGTCAATAGAATTATCACAAACTAATTACTTTTACCGAGAAGTACTAATTAGTACTCATAAGTAATTGGAAAAACACTTGTACGATCGTTTTAAGATTTTGTACATGATTATTATGTTCATATCTTGTACATCTAATTTAAACGTATTTTGATATTTGTTAAAAACTTAATATTTCGAAATACTACTTGTGTTTTCTATGATAATTATGTGCTTCTATTATTAAGCATAAATGTGAATAGTTTTTTGCTTTAAGGATTTAATTTGATATATAATTTTATGCTATATTTTTTAGCCCATTTTGATCGCGTTGATCCACCGTTGACCAGGCTGACCCTCCCAGGTCCAAGTTGACCCTTGACATGTTCACTTGCCCGGGTGATCTCCTGGTTCGGTTTTGACATCATAGGGATTTCAGCATACCCAAGTCTTTAGACTCAGGTGAAGAGATGGAAGAATGATACAGATAGGGCCAATACGGGTTTTACAAAAGGCGGGCACTTTTCCAATATAAATTTTGCCTCTACGTACTGCCGTAGTGATTGGTAGCCCTTGCAGATAATTTCGAAGCTTTTAAACCTTTGCCGTGTGCATTGTGAATTTGTGATTATAAAGACCAAATCTTGGTTTGCAAAGTCTTCCTAACCATGTGAGTAGGTTTAAGCAGTTCAGCTGGGTATATGAGATTTAGGTTTCCACTTGGGGGCATCCAGATCCGCAGGTGCTTGGCATTCTGGTGGATTTGGACCCCTATAGGATCAGCCTTCATGAATGACCGAGGCCTAGAGAGTTTTCATTCAAACATATAGTGAATTTACTTCCAGCAATTAATACCAATAATTGATATTTATACTTATGTTGTCCTTTTTGAAAATAACTTATACATATATATAGTTAAGCCAAACTGAAATTACAACACAACTGGGTATGTCACGTGACTGTTATCATAAATGTATCATAACTGCATTATTAGCATTTTATACTAAATGTATCATAAACGTGACTGTTATCATAAATGCATTATTAGCATTTTATACAAGATATCAAATTGCATGCAACTGACATTGCATTGATTTGATGCAGACAGGATACTCTGTTGTTTCAGCTTGTGTGGTATCTCTCCGCTTAAAGGACATGACTGCAAGTCCTGTCTCCGCAGTGCGAATTTCAAAGAAGGATGAAGAAATCATTTGCCTGATCTTACTTGCCTGTTCTGGCTTTGCCGCTGGTGTTTTTTACCGTTTTGGTGCTTCAGTTATTTTTTTGACTGTAGCTGGACTGACTGCCATAGTTGCTACAGCAGCTCTTCATTTCCGGCAAGTAAGTTAATTCAATCACTCCTTATCTTGTTTTGGCTAGTATGTTTTCAAATATTAAGTAATTGGTGGGATGTCAGTAGGATTAGATATATCTTCTCAGTAGAGATAGTTGAATGTATGGATTCATTTGGAAAGAATACCATTTTTTTATCTCCAAGTGTTGTAGTTGGGCCACTTTTAGTCCTGAACTTTAATATCATTCAGTTTTTCCAAGTGTTGATTTTGATCTACCTTTTTGTTTTATATTTACTTCAACAAACTCTATGTTCTAGCTTGGGGCTAAAAGTTGGATAGAATCAACATTTGACAGTGCAGGTCTTAAACTTCAATTTTCAGGGGAAAAAATGTTTATTTGTGTGTAACCCTCAAGTTCTTCAATTTAATCTCATTTTCATGACTGTGAAATTAACACGCAGTTCAGATGGAATGATCATGACGGGTACTATAAATGAGCATAAACAAGGAAAATGTATATTCATGATAATATTGACCCAAAATGACAGAAATTGAGATTGTAAAAAGGGCATTGGGGCTTCAGTAAGACATGCCACGTAACAGAAAAGAGTAAAAGATCGAGATAGTTGTGTATGACCTTGTGAGGTAGATCCATAATGTTTTCACCAGTTTCTGTTACTTCTTGACTCATTAATTTTGTAGTGTTTCCCGTATTATATATGTTCACAAATTGACCATCCAATTATGTGAAGTTGTGAACTATTTCTTTGGCACACAGTGAGTTTGAATGCTGCTGCAACTTGCTAGCTTGTTCTGAGCATTCATGATCTGTTTTTTGCAGGTGTATACTGACCCACCAGGATTTTCTTGTCCAGGTGTTCCAATTGTACCAGCTGTTTGTATCTTCGTGAATATTTTTCTTTTTGCGCAGGTTTGCCCATGACTAAATCAAATAGAATCATTTTCCTGATAATATGCAATGGCAATTTGTCTTAGATTTGTTGCACACATTGACGCTGAACAAAAATATAAGGTTTAAATATGTTTTTCATCCGCTTAAGTATAACACTTTTTGTTTTAGATCTGTGAAGAATATTGTGTTTTTTTCTTCACAGCAATTTGCACAATTTTCTTTTTTGTCTCTCTCTAACCCCGGAGCAATATTTGTTTAGAAAAGAAACTAATGTCACCTGTATAACTCTACTCTACTATTTTCACTTCATCTTTTTATTCCCTTTTGGACTCTACTAGGTGAAACCAATCATTTCACATTTTTTAAATAGGTCTCAATGGTACTGGAAATAAAATTCAAGTACTTTTATAATGGCTTGAAAAAGAAAGACAGAAAATATCTTAGTCATGGCGCTGGGTCTTCAATCGGAGGTTTCTTGGGTTGGTGTGGGTGATAGTAAAAAGAAAAACAACATAAGGTAGAGGTGTGAGAAACAAAATAAAGAAATTTGTAGTGACCTAAAAAACATTAAAGCACTATATTTGCGGGACTAAAAACGGATTTGAGCCTAAAAATAATAACGAGCTGAGCTGATAACCGTCTTTATCTTTTTCTGCAGTTGCACTACGAGGCCTGGGCGAGATTCATCATTCTTTGCATTATTACAGTTGGCGGTTATGCAATGTACGGACAGTATCACTCCAATCCTTTTGGTTCAGACACATTGCTTGCTTACCATAGGGCTCCTGGAAATGAAGTTAACGCGTAATGCCCTAGCCTTCCATTCAATGCATGTTAATTACTCCCTCCGTCTAGTGAAGTTAAGACTTTGCTTTTCGGAAGCAAATGTGCCCACTTTCCTCTATTAAACAACACCAACCTCTTTTTTCTGCATTACCCTTTTATGATAAGACATTTTATATGATTTCAAACCATTTTAAAATAAAAGTTACTTGCATTTTCGGGATAAAAATGGAAAATCCAACCATACTTCATTGGTTCATCAAGTAATATGGGCGTAAAGCAATAGGGACATATACTTTTGGATAGAGGGAGTTAATTGTTGGACTGTTTGTAATAGGTGTGTGTGTATATATGTAGGAGTTTGTGTATTTGCTTGAATAATAGATCTTCCAAATACCCGATCACTTCCAGAAGTGGTCACTTTGTCTTTTCCTGCTAGGCAATGTTCACTCAAGGAAGGACCAAGGAGTGGCCGTTAAGAAAAACTGTATAGTTCAGAAATGTACTTGGTAATAATATTCTAGTGTTCATGATGCATGTCCTCTCTTTTTTTGGTATCGATGATGGCATCTACAGTTGGTGACATCGATACTTCCGAGTTCCCACCAAGTGGGTGTGTAAAGCAGGAAGGATATTGCGCCACATGAAAAAGGAATGAGATAAATATTGCGGCAGACCAAGACAAACATAGTGAGTGAGAGTGAGACAAAGGGAAAATCATTTTTGTTCACCTCCAAACTCCAAAGAGGGTGATTGTTCACCTGCCTGCCACATGATTACACTCCTATAAATTCGAAGGGGTGCTCTTATATATACACAGTAAAAAAAATTTACAAAATAATTTTTTATAAGGATAAAATAAAAACGAGTAAAAATTAATCATTACATATATAGAGTGCGACTCCATTAAAAAGGGTTGTTCCGGTGAAAATGTGAATGAGTACACTTTTTACTTATTCTGGTGCACTAGTAAATACGGCCTCCGTTCTTAAATAGTTAAAACATCCAAAATTTTACGCAATTCATGTGTTCTATTTTAACTATATTTTATTCACGAATACATTAAAACTTATTTTGTATAAAATATAATTAAATTGTTCCCACTTTATATTTTCAAAATGTTAATTTTTTATAAATAATACAATCAGGGAATTAAAAATACTATTTAGGAATACAGAAACATTTTCAGTCTTATTTAAAACAATTTTCCCAATAGTGTAATCTGTTTTTTTTTGGCAAATGGAGTAATTTGTATTAAAAAATAAGAATGTAAAACAAATTCTATAAAAATTTAAACAGTATGGTTTAAGCAACATCATGTCAAACAGTGAGTCAGCGATTCAATTGAACAAAATTAGTAGTAGGCTTGCGGCACCTAAATATGAATGGCGGAGTGAAAAATTCAAGACCAAGAAAAGTAAAGGCAATGGAAGCAAACTAAAATGTAGCAGCCTTGAGGATTCGAACCCAGGACACTATAGAGGGCAAATCTCCTACGCAGCAAAGCTTCCAAGTGTGCCAGCATGGCAGCATGTCTATTGTTGAAATTGTTTAACCGGGGCGGAAATATATACTCTTTCTTAGCAGGGGCTGAGCTATAGACATATATATATATACACTACCGCCGCTGGCGAACGTGGGGCGGCGACACCGGCTGGCCCACCCCTGGTTCCGCCACTGTGGCTACGTCTGGGACCAAAATGAAAAAGGGGATGGAAGGGGAGGCTCTTGATAGTAAAAAAGAAAGACAAAAACAGAGAGAATGAAAAAAGAGGTTGCACCCCTTGTCAGCTATGAGAAAAAAGAGGACCCACTAAAAACTTAAAATTTGAATTGCTATAGTTTATTTTATTTTTGCTCCAACTTTTATGTACAAAATTCATATTCTTTTATGATCTTTGATAGTGTCACACTAATATTAAATATTTTAAGTTAAAAAAAAACTGAAGTTCAAATTGCTTGAATCCGTAGTGCCTACACAAATAATTGAATTTTACTTGAATTCAAATATTTTTTTGTTACTGGAAAAAGTCAAAGAAAATCAATGAAAATTTATTTTTTAACATTGAGATGTGCATTTTTAATTTCATAATTATTCAGGGGAAAAAATCAAAGGTAACATTGCTTATAATAATTTAATTAATTGTTTACTAAATTGATACGTATAAAATATGATGAGTGTCATTTTACAAAGGGACTAGTTGATATTTGATAAGTGAGATTCTAAATACCTGCTTGACAATTGTTGTCGCCAACTCGCCATCCAGAGTTTGTGTGGCCAAAGCTGTATTACGGAAGTGATTGTACGGGTCTCAAATAAGGGATGGACCGGTTTGGGCCCGGTTGGGCCTCGGTTCAGGAAGGGGAGGCCCGGAACCGGCCCGGGTAACCCCCGGGTCCGGGTCGGGACCAGGTTCTATTTTTTTTTTGGCTTTTCCTAGTTAACCCCCAACCCTCCCCCTCACCCCCAAACCAACCCTAACCACCTCAAATGGCCCAAAATACCCAGACTAACCCAAAAATTTTAAAAAAAAACAAAAAAAAAATTGGCCTGGCCCGGGCCCGAACCGGCCGGGCCGGTTCACCTTTTGAAGGGCTCGAGCCCGAACCGACATCCCACCGGGCTGGGTGGCCCGAACCGGCCAACCAACCGGTTCACCGGGTCGGTCCGAGCCCATACAGTAGCGGGCCGGTCCGGTTCCGGGCCGGTTGGCCCGACCCGAGTCCACCCCTAGTCTCAATCACCATTTTTTTTCGAGTCATTAGGAAGAACTACTTTGTACCCGTAGGCGTAGCTCAACTGATAGCGAAAGAGTGCCAAAAGGGTTAGATCCCGGGTTCAAATTCCGGCAACTGCAATAAGAGGTGATTATGCAAAATGCAAAATATATAGGACCTCTGCAAGTACCAGAGATAGAGTCCCACTCTATATCTATCAGATTGTGGTTATAGTCCAATATCCTTCCAACGTACCGTCCGGTCGGGGTTGAGGGGCCCTCAGGGATGGAGTGTCATCCTTTTTTTGAAGAACTACTTTGTATAAGTTTCTGGCAACACCTTTCATGAGATGGATGATAATAAAAAGGAACTACGGAGTACTTTGTATAAGTTCCTGACAACAACTTTCATGAGATGGATGATAATAAAAAGGTTTAAATATGTTTTTCGTCCCTCCAAACATTTTGTTTTACATCCCTGTAAAATTATTTTTTTGTTTTTCGTCCCTGCAATTTAGGTTGGTTTTCTTTTTAGTCCATCACTGATGATAACAATCTTCGCTTGACCTCAAAATAAATCCGATTAATAGACCCCTTCTAATTCTTTGTCATGTTATTAAATAAGTATTTAATTTTATTTTTTAGAAGGGTTTTAATATATATTTTTAAAATTTGAATACTTAATTTTACATTGTTTTAACTCTCATATTAGCCTCAAAATAATAATAAAAAGTAAGAATTTAAATATTTCTAGTAGATTTGTGTAACTGACAATAACTTTTTTTGTAAGTAGAATAGTTTCAGAATCAGAGATGGACTAAAAACAAAATAGTGCATATCGTAGGGATGAAAAACAAGAAAAACATTTTGCAGGGATTTAAAACAAATTATGTCATATTTGCAGGGACTAAAAACGTGTTTAAGCCTAATAAAAACCATTTTTCTTGGTGTACATTCTGGGTACATCATATATAAGGCTCTAGAATTTTTTACCCCCTCCACCTCCCACAAGTTTCACGTGCGTTAGGTGCGTGTTGAGCTCCAAAACAAATCCCGCCCTCTTTGTCTTCCCTCCTTTCTCGCATCCTGAGCTCATGTTCAGCCAACTTCTATGTCTTTCCCTCATTCCCATGGCTGACTTTTTTCTTTCAAAAACCACCCCTATCACCCTCCCTCATCCGTGTTTCCCTCATCCCTCATGTTGATAAGTATGAAGTTTGTTGATGACTAACCATACAGGAACAAAGGACAGAACTATCATAAGGTCCAAATGGACAACTGTAATTTCTCAATGATTAACCATGCAGGTGGACCAACGGAAAGAACAACTATCAGTTTTATCAAAGAACAAATGCTAGAACTGTACTCAGTTCTGTTCTACATGAATGATATTTGATGAGTGTGTGCATGATAATACTTTGTTACAATATTCTTGATATACGTGGCACAATTTAAATCTCCTTCCATGCATGATTAAACATTCTCTTGAATGAGTTGCCCTATATAGCTCGATATCTTATGGAAAGAATCATCGCTACCTTTATAATAATTGATCGTAGCATAAGTTGTTAAGTAAATGGTTCTGATGGAGTATATGGCCCAGGGACCCCCGGCCCACGTACTCCCGCTACTGCAATCAGGCTCAATAGGTCCAAATAGGGCCAAGCCCAGCAAAATGAAGCTCTAAGCTGCCCACAATACACAGGGAGGTGCCTTCGGCCCCATGACCGAAGGCTACCGATGACAGAATTTAGCTCAGGAACATCGCAGGAGAACAAGGTTTGAATACCAAGCCTTCGGCACCTACAGCCCTCGACACATAGAGGCCCCCGACCCATGGAGCCTTCGGCACAATAGATACAGCCGAAGGCGTCTCCCTCGACAGAATCTCCTCTACGCATGCGCTGGATCACCGTACGAAGTACAACATCACATCCAAGCAGTGCATTTAATGCGGCCACATGCAAATGCCGGTGCCACCCCGATTGAGGTGACTCCCCGACCACCAGATTATTGACACGTGTCCTTATCTAGCATTTATTGCTGCTATAAATAGCAGCCCATTTCCCCGTTGTAAGGCATCACAAATAAACAGATCGAATACATATTCTCTCTCTATTTATTGTTCAGACTTCTGATGCACACTAATTAGTAGTGCATAATTATATGTTTTTATGTTTGATTTATGTTGATTGTTTGACGTTTTATTTAGTTTGTAGACATTTATGTGATTTCAGTTGTAATTGTATTTTAGTCTTTTTTTATAAGTTGTAAAGTATAGTTAGGATTTGTGGTGTTGGAAAGGAAGACTTTGAAGAGAAGAAAACAAGAAATTTGACTGCCCAGGAGTAAAACCCGACCGGGTAGAAACCCCCACCCGATCGGGTATGATTTAACAGACGAAATTGCCAAGAAAGTCACTGGACCCGGTCGGGTCCCCTACTTGACCCGGTCGGGTCAGATGTGACCCGGGACAAAACGACGTGCGAAGATCACCAGAACGTGGCGGATTATCTGATTTTGACCGGACCCGGTCGGGTAAGTACTTGACCCGGTCGGGTACCCGGCCAAAGGTGTTGAAAAACACCTATAAATAGCACACTTTTTCTTCTCTAAAAATAACCCCTTCTTCCATACTCTTAAGCTCAGTTTAGAATAGCATTTCTTTATATTTTTCTAGCTATGTTTAGTCTCCAAATGAGGAGCTAAACTTCCATTCTTGGTGCTGCTCTTGAAGCTTGTTGATTATTAAAGTTGTGAGTTATTTTCTTAACTTCTTTTCTTGAATATTAATTAATAGTTCTTTCCTTAATACCATCTCT